CAAGGTTGATGAAGATCTTGTCCGATATGTATGAGAAGCCTTCTGCGAATAACAAAGTACATCTTATGAAAAGAATTATTTAATCTTAAGATGAGAGAAAGTGCTTCCATGACAGAGCATATAAATGATTTTAATACAATCATTAATCAACTGTCGTTTGTAAAAATTGATTCTGATGAAGAAGTTCGTGCCCTAATTCTTATGGCCACCATACCAAATAGTTAGGAGCCTATGAGAGCAGCAATTAGTAATTCAACAGGTAGTGTGAAATTAGAACTCACAGATGTCAGCGATAAAATTCTTGCTAAGGAGGTTTGCAAGAAAGATTTTGGGTGAGATAACATCGAATGCTTTGAATGTTGAAACAAGAGGCAGGGGCTACGATAGAAATTCAAACCGAGGCAAAGGACGATCAAAATCAAGGAACTAAAGAAGCAAGTCCAGGTTTGGGAAAAAAATAGAGCGTTGGAATTGTGGCAATAAAGGCCACATATAGAGGAATTGCAAAGCGCCAAAGAAAGATGAGAACAACAATGACGACGTCGCTAATGCTGTAACTGAGGAGGTACAAGATACTTAACTTTTATCTGTTGATAATTCTATTGACTCTTGGGTTTTAGATTCAAGGGCTTTAGTTGTAGTCGGAGACTCAGTTGCAGTTGCATATGCTAGTGTTATCTCGAGTTTGTGGCACTGTATGAAAGAGCTTTAACTAAAGGGAAAACTATTAGAGTTGAAGTCGATTGATTATCGTTTGTGTGAAGGTTGCATCTTTGGCAAATAGAGAAGGGTAAGTTTTTCCAAAGTAGTAAGGGAACCAAAGGCAAAGCAGCTGGAGTTGGTTCATACAGACGTGTGAGGACCCGCTCTTGTGTCATCCCTTGGAGGCTCAAAGTACTATGTAACGTTCATTGATGATGTGAGCAGAAAGATATGTATTTTTGAAAAATGAATATGATGTTTTTGATACTTTTAAAAAGTTGAGAGCCATGGTTGAAAATGAGACAAACCTAAGGGTGAAGTGTTTGTGATCCAATAATGGGGGAGAGTACATTGATCAAGGTTCAAAGAATATTGTGCCAATAATGGAGAAGACCATTCAAAGAATATTGTGCCAATAATGGAGAAGACCATTCAAAGAATATTGTGCCAATAATGGAGAAGACCATTCCTGCAACTCCTTAACAGAATGGTGTAGCTAAAATGATGAATAGAACCCTAAATGAGCGTGCGAGAAGCATGAGTTTGCATGTTGGACTACCACAGACATTTTGGGCCGAGGCAGTTACTACTGTAGCTTACTTGCTTAATAGAAGACCTTCTATACCGCTAAATTGCAAGATCCCAGAAGAAGTTTGGAGAGATAAAGAGGTAAATTATTCTTTCTTAAGAGTGTTTGGTTATTAAGCATATGTTCACATTGACTCTAGTCTTAGAAGTAAGCTTGATGCTAAATCTAACAAATGTTTTTTCATTGGTTATGGTGACGCCGAGTTTGATTATCATTTCTGGGATGACCAAAATCGCAAGATTATAAGGGGCAAAGACATCATATTCAATGAAAAAGTGATGTACAAGGATAAACTCAACATGAAGTTAGAATATCCAAACATTGAAGTGAAGAAGCAAGAGGTAGTTCCTCTAAAAGACTTCCCAAGGAATGGCATGCAAGACAATGACCAGGGAGATCAAGATAATATAGCTTTAGAAGTTGAACCACAAACACCCATGTTTGAACCTAAAAGACCTTCCAAGACTATAAAACCACCATAGAGGTACTTTACTTCGTTGAATTATATTTTACTAACTGATGGTGGTGAACCAGAGTGTTACAAGGAAGCAATGCAAGTTAATGACTCAATCAAGTGAGAGCTAGCTATGAAGGATGAGATGGACTCATTATTAACAAATCAAACCTGACAATTGACAGAGCTACCACAAGGGAAGAAGGCATTGAAAAACAAGTGGGTTGATCGGGTGAAAGATGAACATGATGACAGTAAATGAGATAAAGCAAGACTAGTTGTGAAAGGATTTCAGTAGAAAGAAGGCATTGACTATATTGAAATTTTTCTCCAGTTGTCAAGTTGACTATAATAAGAACAATACTTAGGTTAGTGGCAAAATGAGACTTTCATCTTGAGCAGTTAGATGTAAAGACGACGTTTCTTCATGGAGAACTAGATAAAGAAATTTATATGCAGCAGCCACAGGGTTTTAAAGTATAAGGAGAGGAGAGAATGGTGTGTAAACCTCAAAAGAGCCTATTTGGGCTAAAACAGATGCCTAGATAGTGGTACAAGAAGTTTGATGGGTTTATGTGTAGTAACGGTTTCCTAAGATGCTAAGCAGACCATTGCTGTTATTTTAAGAAACTTGGTAACTCTTATATCATCCTATTATTATATGTAGATGATATGTTGATTATAAGGGTCTGTAAACAGGAAATAGACAAGCTAAAAAGGCAATTGTCAAAGGAGTTTGCTATGAAGGATTTGGGAGCTCCAAAACAAATCCTTGGTGAGGATTACCAGAGATAGAGCCAAAGGTTTCTTGAAGCTGTCACAATAAGATTATGTGAAGAAAGTACTCAACAGGTTCAACATAGATGGAGCAAAGCCAGTAAGTACTCCTTTGGCTAGTCACTTTAAACTATCCAAAGATCGGTCACCTACAACAGAGCATAGCAAGACTACATGGCAAAGGTACCCCATGCATTAGCGATTGGTAGTCTTATGTATGTCATGGTGTGTACAAGGCTAGATATAACACATTCAATGAGAGTTGTGAGTAGGTACATGAGTAATCCAGGAAAGCAACATTGGGAAGCAGTAAAATGGATTCTCAAATATTTGAAAGGTTCTATAGATTCAACATTATGCTTTAGGAAGCCAGACTTAGAGCTACAAGGTTATAAGGATGCTGATATGGCTAGTGACATTGATAACTGCAAGAGTACCACGGGTTATGTCTTTACATTAGGTGGTACAACGATTAGTTGGGTTTCAAAGTTACAGAAGATTGTTTCTCTTTCTACTACAAAGGCAGAGTATGTTGCTATGACAGAAGCTAGTAAGGAACTAATATGGTTACAATGGTTCCTAGAAGAATTGGGTCAGAATTATGAGAGAAGCGCTTTGTATTGTGATAGTCAAAGTGCAATTCACTTGGCAAATAACCTAGTCTGCCATGCTAGGACAAAACACATAGAAGTTCGTTACCATTTCATACGCTCAGTTTTGGAAGGAGTTATAGCTCTCAAGAAGATTCAAGTGAGTAAAAATCCAACTGATATGTTTACAAAGGTGATTACCATTGAGAAACTGAAGTTGTGTACAACTTCAATTGGACTTCTCGCTTGAAGAAAGAGAAGTTGATGCCACTGCTGATGGAAGTGAAGAATTGAAGACATGTTGAATTAGTCTCCAAGTGGAAGATTGTTGAGATTGTGGAGGCAAATTCAATCCAAATTAGAGTTGGATTATGACATGGGTTTTCCTAATTTGTGTTTAAGTAGGAATTGTTTTCTTTTAGGAATACAATTGGAAATAGAATTATAATTTTACTAGGAATTAAAATATAATTCCTATTAGGATATGGAATTTGAGTCATATTAGGAATTGTGTCCCATGTATTACCTATAAAAAGGAGTTAAGTCTTAGAGTTAGATATCACGAATTGAATAGAAGGCAAAACCACAATTAGAGAGTGAGAGCCACCAAGTAAGGTTTAGTGAGTGAGCCAATTTGTGAGGCTTGTGAGAGATTCTTGTAATTTTTTTCTTCTTCATAGTGAAATTCCTTAGCAGCAAAGTGGATGTAGCTCTCATACGGAGAGTGAACCATTATAAATCTTGTGTTTGTGTGTATGGTTATTTTGTGTCCTTTGTTCATTTTTTGCTTTCAGGGATTTAGGATTTGCTAGTATCTAATTAAATCCCCCAACAATTATTACACCTATAACTCATTATCACAAACATTTTCTCACAATTTTGATGTAATAGCTCATAATTAATCAATTTGTAATGGATTTTATCTGCCTAATTGCGAGTTGTCACGTTAGAAGTGTGAGAGAAAATTTGTAAAATTGGGTTGTGAGCCAATCTTACAAAAGTTTTAAAAGTTGATTTTCTAATTCCAAAAGTTCTAATGTTATATAGGCAATACTACACTAACAATCAAATCTTACAAATTTCTTCTCATAACCTTGATGTGGTAGCTCACAATTGGTCAGTTTACAATGGATACCGTCTGCCCAACTGTGAGCTGACTAATGTCATATTGGAATTGTAAAAGAAAGTTTGTAAGATTGAGTTATAAGCCTATCTTTATTGATATTATACACCACAAACCCTAAATTGCCGTTGGAAACCTCCATTTCCAATCATCAAACATCAATGGCCTTATTCTATCCTCAACCCTAACTCACTTAATCACCGACACATCTCGGTGTCGTCAATCCTCTCACCGCCCGTTCGACGTCGTCAACTAGCAAACAACGTCACACAAAGATAAGATTAAAGAAAACAAGTCACTCAATGCACTCTCTCCTCTCAAATCGGTAGATGACCCCCGAAGCATTCTTGGCATATGCCTCGACACCTCTCTCACTCTCGACCATCCTACTGACCATAGGGTCCTATAAACCACTGTTTCCAAGCTATCAGAGCATCAACAATACATTGAACACTTCCTTGAAGAACTCAAGACCAAACACGATTTGAGAGGAAACGAGCAGTTAATTCCTTACTCTATCGTCCTTTACGGTAAGGCGCATATGCTCGACCATGCCATTCGTGCATTCAAGGCAAGTCCTTCTGTTGAGTCATTAAACGCATTGTTATCTGCCTTCATTTTGGTGGGAAATTATAAAGAAAAGAAGCGAATTTATTGTAAAGAAGGGAAACGAATTATTCCTAGTGATTATGAATTTGGAGATATATAATACTATGATTAAGGTGTTTTGTGAGACTGGTGAATGTGTATTCTGTGTTGGAGGAGATGGATAGGAATTCAGTTAAGGCAAATACGAAGACATTAGTGACTTGGTTAGATGGACTTAATAGAGAGGAGAAATTAGAAGACATTGAGAAAGTGTTGAAATTAATGGAGAAATACATGATAAAGTCCAGGATTGGTGTGTATAATGCAAGGATCAAGCGTTTGTTGAGGTTGGGAAAGAATGTGGAAGAAGCAAAAGCATTGTATGATGAGATGTTATCAAGAGGAAGGAATCCAAGTTCGCAAACTTATAGGCTTTTGATTCATATGTTTCAAGAGGCAAGGAATGTTGAGGAAGCTACGAGATTGTCTAATAGTATGTTAAAAAACCAACAGAATGCTTACATCAACAGATAGTGAACTTTATTTTTCATTAGATAAGGAAAGGAAAGCAATGATGGAAGGGGAAGCAAAGGAAGGGCTTGGTGAACGAAAACTCAAGGATGGACTGATGATGTGGTTAAGAAGAAGTTAAAGCTTAGGCTGGACTGAGGTTGGACCTGGGTTGACACAATTAAGGTAAGCAAGTTTGGGATATGGTAAGTTTTATGTTAATGCTGTTGGTTATTCATGAGATTATCTCATTTCGCTTTTGTAGTTAGTCCAACCTTACTTTCATGAGATTATTTCATGTCTCTTTTGTAGTTGGTCCAACTTTACTTTCAGGGGGTGTTTGGTTGGGGGTTATATAGGATTATTGAGGTTATGTCATCTTATATTATTAGAGGCAATCTAATAACCTCTATTTTCTTAGGTATTGTAAGATTAGTTGGTTATCTTATTTTTGTTACAATTTTATTCCTTATTAATAAAAATTTTGGATAATAATGCCCTTATTTTAAAATCAATTTACATAAATCTGGCTTTTACAATTTTACTCAAATTAATTAACTTTTTGGACAAAATTACTCTTAAATTCAAAACAAATTGTAGCCTACCCAAGCCACCACCCCCAGCCACCTGCTGTTGCTGGAACGGCACACAGAAGGCCGCAAATGGCCGTTGTGCATTGATATGGCTATTTTTGTGGCCAAAGATCTGGCCGGAAATGGCTAGATTGTAACAGATCTAGCCAAAAAATGGTTAGATCTAATCTGATCGAAAAATGGCTAGATCTAATTTAGTCGTTTCCAGCCAAATCCATTGATCTAGCCAGAAAATGGACAGATCAATGGATCTAGCAAAAAATGGTCATATCGGCGCATAGAGGCCATTTTCGACCTTTTGTGTGCCGTTAGGTTGCTGGCTGACGATGGCTGTTGGTGGGGTAGTGGCCAGGTTGGTACGGGTGCATTTTTTATTTCTTCTTGAAGCGAAGAGTCCGCGCAAGGCAGTTTTATTGAGTTGAGGAAGTGAATGGATTTCCTTTTTCTTCCCTTGAAGTAATTCTTTTTGTAGTTCTTCTCTTTGTTATAGAGTCAAGGTAGTGGACTTAACACTTAACTAACATCACTGCCAGACTCAATCCATAGAATCCGTTTCGTCTCCAAGAAAGTCTTTGTTCTTTACCCAACCTCAAAATCAAATAGGAATAAATAGAAATAAATAAAAGAGGGTTAGGTTAAGGTGTGAAGGGGGGTTGCTAAGCCCCAGGAATCAAGTTCTTTGATTGCTTAGTAGAAGGGCCTTCCTATATTGAATCTTCCTATTCCATCGATTGGGGTTGTTTTTCTATGTTTTTAAATGTAGGGGGGTTATATAATAATCTGAATAATAATATTTAATTAGATGACAATTCGGTTATTTAAATAACATACCCACCGTTCTATTCTTTCCAACCAAATATATTAATATAATATACCTACCAATTTATTTCAACCAACCAAACATATTTCCCTAAACATTCCCAGTAATCTTCAAGGTAATCTTTCTTTCCATTAATATAACATTTTGAGGCTGTTTGGATCGGGTTGAAATGTTTTAACAAGGGTAATATTTGTTTATGAGTAGATAACCGTGTTTGGTTGTTTCGTACAAAAACATTATCGAAAAAAATGACAAACAGTGCCAAAAACGGGATAAATTGTCGGGAAGAATATTACCTGGGGGGCTATTATTAAAACATTCCTCCAGTAATCATAATTTATGTCCAATCTTACCCCTAAACAGTGGACTATGTGGATAAAAATATGATTTGGTTTATTAATAATTACAAAATAGCCAATTTGCACAAACATACGTATTTGTCCTCAATGTTTTCATTTTTCAGACAAAACTGCCTTGGTTTTTATCATTATTTTCAGAAAGGCCACGAAGATTGGTGTACCTACTTTATCCTCTCATATTTGCACATTGTGACCAATATGCCCTTGAACTTCATTAAAACTACAATATAAAAAGAAAAAAAAATTTAGAACCCCAAATCAAAGATTTCCTTGTGCACTAAACCTCCTTCGCTGCCACTGGAGTCTTCTTCTTGTTGATCTCATTCGCCAGTTCGTCAGTCCGATTGCCATTTTCGGTAAGTCCTTTACCCTCTTTCCTTTATATGTTGCATGATTTGTTTGGATTGCAATTTGAAACCCTAACTCCTCCATTTTGCCTCTGCCTTTGATCCACCAGCTCTGCCGTAGCAACGTCGGGTCTTCGTCGCCATCTGTTTGCTTCCAACAACATTCCAATTGCGGTTTTCGGTAAATTCCTCGCCTCCTTATGTTGTAGGAAGATTATTAAATTGAGAGGGTTGGTTTGTTTCGCTTTAAAGAGGGTAATATTATCGTGGAATAACCAATTTGATGCTGAAATAACATGAAAATAGTTCGAAATGGTAGTAGGTTGCTAGTTTAATGTTGTGATTTGTTGCGTTGCAGTTAGGGTTCCTTTGTTTTTTTCTATTTAATGTTTGGTTGGGTGTGTTTTTTTTTATGTGTCTTGCGGTTGAAATTGTGTGTATAAATTGCATTTTGGGTTACTATTATGGTTGCAACGTGATTCGTTTGGATTGTACTTTCAAACCCTAACTTCTCCATTTTGCCTTTGTCGTTGATCCACATCTCTGTCGTAGCAACGTCGAGTCTTCGTCGCCATCTGTTTGCTTCTAACAACATTCCAATTGCAGTTTTCGGTAAGTTCCTTGCCTCCTTATGCTGTAGGAAGATTATTAAATTGAGAGGGTTGTTTTGTGTCGCTTTACAGAGGGTAATATTTTCGTGGAATAACTGATTTGATGTTGAAATGGCATGAAAATAGTTTGAAATGGCAGTAGGTTGCTGGTTTAATGTCGTGATTTGTTACATTGCAGTTAGGGTTGCTTTGTTTTTCTTATTTTATATTTGGTTGGGTGTGTTCTTTTTTATGTGTCTTAGGGCTGAAATTGTGTGTATGAACTACATTTTGGGTTAGTGTTATGGTTGCAATGGTGGCTAGAATTTCATGTGTTTATGGTTGCATTTTTGGTCGATCTGTGCATGTAATGGTAGCTAATATACTATGTATATATGGTCAATTGACTTGTCAAGGTAATTGCAATGCTTAAATTGATTTATTGTTGGAATTTTGTTGCATTCGGTAATTATTTTAATAACATTGTGGTTGAAGCTTTGACATGTTTGGGTTACTTGTGTTTTGGGTGATGTTGCTTTTCTTTGGACTGTTTTAGTTGGCATCTAGGTAGATTTTTAGCTGCATGGTTGGGTTGGGTTTAGTATGGTGAGATGATGGTGTTAGTAGGTATAAATTTATGGGTATTCAGCATGTGAATGTGGCCATGTTTCCAAGCTTGAATAAGTTATTATTGGAAATGATGTTTTTAGTTGGTATAAATTTATGGGTATTCGGCATGTGCTCGTGGCCATGTTTTTAATTTTGAATAAGTTATTATTGTTATTAATTAAGTTTAGGGTTTTGGGTGTTAACGTCCTATTCTGAAAATAGATTTTGGTTGAGTACCTATTGTCATCAACCCTTGTGAAACTAGAAAGATAGCTTTCAACCTCTTCCCACTTCCCATCAAGTACGAGGTCCTCAAATAACTTTAAGTCAAAATTAATATCCACGTTCATGCATGAGCCTGCACACCTGATGGTTATGATTAAGTTACAAAATAAGCATAAGAATTTGAAGGTGTAAAACATGCATACATGAGTGGATGGGTTAGAGATGAAAGTTTAACATACATGCAAGCACTTTCTTTATAACCATCCTTATCAAAGAACTGTAAAATTAGAAAAACAAGCTATTGGGTAAGAGAATGCATCTATACAGCAGTCTTTCTCGGCTTGAAAGCCTGCAAACAAACCCAAGTCAGAAAATTTGATAAACAGAAATAACTGGGGGCGGGCAAAATTTTAGGGTAGAATTGGAATTGACGGGTACCCGAGTGTCGGTTCCGGTTCCAAAAAATTGGAATCGATACTGTGCAGTTCCGGTTCCGGTTCCAAATCAAAGGAACCAAAACCAGAACCAGGAACCATGACTAAATTGATATAATATTAAAGAATAAGGGTTTTTTTTTTGATATTTTACATATCATATAAATATATAAGAAAATTTTGATCTTAGTATCAAAATTGTTATTAATTTTCATTAAAAGATCAGTTTTAAAAAATATTTTTATTAATATTTAAGTTTCACTTATTACTTGATTAAGAAATTAATATACATTAAGATATTTATGTTAAATAATAGCTTTTAAATATTTATTATCAGTGAAAACAAACAATTAAATACTTATAATCAAGCATCAAACATAAACAAATATATTATTTAATGTTTTGCACTTAATTGTTAGGGGTGTAATTATAATTTTATAAGGGTTTATTTATCATTTTTTTTTAAAAAGGAGTAATTGATATTTTTCAGGGTACCCGGAACCAGAACCTGTATCCGGTTTCAAGTTTTTAGGAACTGAAACTGACGGTTCCACTTCTGGTTCCAAATCAAAGGAATCGGTCAGTTCCAGTTTCGGTTCCTTTGATTTTGGGCGGGTACTTAGACCCGCCCGCCCCTAGAAATAACTAATCACATAAATAATCAACCTTCAAATCAAGTTACGCTCTAGTTGAATGCTAAGAGAAATGATGGAGTTCAAATAATAAAAACTGTTTTGGGGTAGGTTTATCGTCTTTTCGTACTCACAATTTCTATAGAAACAAATGAAAGAATATCAGATTTTATTTTTGGGTAAATGAGGTAATTGTATAAAAGAATGAAAATATTATAACCTAGGAGACCAAACCTCCGCTACCGCTAAAAACCTTTGACATGCCCAAGGGACAACAAACTATACAACGAAAACAAAAAACTGTCTAAATATGTTGTGGTCCGTGAGGTATTAAATACTTTTCAGTATGAGAATCGGAATTCGTTGGTTAGAAAGATAATAAAAATATATTACAATCGTTATTGGAACATTTTTA